CGAAAACGGTATTACAATAATATTATTTTGTTACATGTCACTACCAGCTAGTGAACTGCATCGGGTTTTTTTCAGGTTTTGAGTAAATAGTAAATAAAACTTTAAATCAAGATCAAACTCTTTTTCGAGATGTGAATTCGATAGTGGAATCTTTTAGTTTTCGAATAATGCATTTGGATTTGAAAAACATTTTATTCCTGCAGTTCTACATATAAAACGATCGCAAAAAAAATCGGAATCGAGTTTAAATTGGACTTCGATTTTTTTCGTATATTTTTCTTCTCTAATTCCAAGGATTGAATATTTTTCTCGAACCAAGGCATATCATTTAAGCTGGACAACTTCTCTATCGAACCCACATTTCAAAAAAAGAGTTTGATATTGGTGTAAAGTTTTTATTTACTGTTTACTCAAACCCGAAAAAACCCCATGCAGTTCACTACTACCAGCACTTTGTTTTCACGAAATCAATTTCGATCTTGTATAACACATATGTTAACCGTAGCGATTTAAATTTCAAAATAAATAAAATTTAAGTGTTAAGCAAAAATGTCCATTTTAACTCAAACATGAAGTTCAAAGTTAGTTTCCATGTAAACCTATTAGAGATACAAACAGATAAGAAGTAGAACAAACGAATGAATCTGGATGTAGCTCAGACACAATGGTAGAGTTGCTTTCAAACACAACTTGAAACAGAATTGCGTCTGAATGTGGCTAAAAACAACTTAAAATAGCGTCTAAATGTAGTCAGAACACAAAATTTGCATTCAGACACTATTGTCATCGGGCGTTTAGATGCATCCATGTGCAACAAAGATTTTATCTGGGTTGATTATGAACGCATTTACAATACATTTAATGTTTATGTGTTAAAGGTTAAAGTTTTTTCTGCTTCTTTATATACGAATTCTTACACTAGAGAGTCATATGTGACAGAAGAAACAAAATGCATATAATCGTCTACAAAATACACAATTCTTTAAATTTATTTTTTTCAATTTCCACTATTTTTTTTGAAAAGTAAATTCTATAAAATTTATCTTCACCTCGCTACTTTAAAAAAACAAAAAAGTTAAGATGCTGCATCCATTGAGCATTTATTGAATAAGCAATTAATTATCGAAAAAAAACCGTTTTTCTCGTATTCTATGATCCAAAAACTATAATTATTGTTTTTATAAAGTTAATCATATGCAACCGATGTCATGTATGCAATTTTAAGTAACACTGATAAATTAAAAAAATGAAAATATTTCAAAGTTTATATAATCTAATGAAGCAATTGCTATAAATTGATCTTTTTTCTCTATAAAAAGTCACATGATAAAAGCAGATAAGACTACGAGTGTTTATAGCTTCATGGTAAGTTCAATGTCTTTCATTCTGTAGGCATCATGATCGAATCTCGTTTGTTGCACTCTATTCAATAACTTAATAATGTGTTAAATTGAAATAAAAATATCACGTAGCGATGAAAATGGATCGATACCATGATATAGAGCACAATTTTTTAAAATTTAACAAATTTCGGATATCCTAAAACGCGTTTCGTCGCGTCTAACAATAAACAACGTTAGGATGCGTTTCAAACTGGTATCGCGTTAGAACACCCGAAAATGTTGCATTTTGGATGTATCCAGACGCGTGAAATTACATTGCTGACAAGCGCTCGGGGACGCGTCAAAAATTAAAAAATGGATACATGGGATATCCTTCAAGATTCTTTCTAGCATAAACGATTGCTCTAAAACTGACATAATTCATTTGCAAGAATCCTTTGAGCTTATTTATTTCTTTCTTGTCATGCAGAAATTCATTATGCCTAATGTTCATGTTACATGTACTCGTATTACTTGAATTTAAAAATAAAAAGTAAGCAATATCGCACTGGATTAGTGTCTTGGAACCACTTCAGTAGTTCGCATTGAAGGTTACACTTTTTGATTTATAAATTCAACTAGTACATACTCATAAATAAAGAAGAAGATAAATAATGAGCCTGAAGGAAACTTTGGACGTTTAGCATCTGCTCTTTTTGTTTCACTTTTTTCTGTAACATAAAGACGCATTTGACAATTTTTGTTCAGATATATTCTAAATAAGAAAGGTTTATTTTCTTCGAGCTCTTAAATGATCATGCAATAATATATCGAACCAATTACAAAATGAGAAAAACCTACACAAAAAAAAAACAAACAAACAATGAAGCGTTCTGCGCGTGATGGTGACAGATTGCTTCTTTTGTTTTACAAGAAAGCATCATGGGAAAAACAATTGTACCATCCAATAATCTCGAGATGTGTTTTCATTCAATAAAAAGCACTATCTCTTGATTATCTTAAGCATGAATAACTCAATAAAATTCTCTACACCCGTGTTGTAGACTTCCATATTTCTGCTCATGGGTAACGTATGATGCAGTCAAGACAGAACCTACAGAAAAAAAGATGTCCTTCATCATCAGCGAATCGGTAGCTGATAATTTCGAAAATAGCAGTAGATTATGCTGAATTAGAATCATTAGATGAATGGTAAAATATATCTCTGAATTCAGAATTTTGGTGATGCTGAAATTGACGAAACAGATTCGCAAAATCATAAAAAAGTGTCGTGACGATACCAGTAAGAAAAAGCAATGTCTACTCGATATGATTCATAACATCGATGGATCATGGATAAAGAAGAAAACACAAAAAGATTACTGCATGAACGAAATTCTGTCGAATTCTGATATATAAAGGATGTTTCACAATAACTGAGAATAAATTGTCAATGACATTTTTCATACTTTTTGTCGATATAGAGGGTTGAAATTTTCATCACACACATATCGAACTAAGATCTTTAATTTCCTAAAGTTTCAGCTCTGTATCTAAAACTAGTGCTGAAATTCATAGACAACATTGAAATACATGAATTTTCGCACTTGATTTTGGTAATATCTTTATCTCTTACTCAATCGCAACATAGTGGTCAAGAATTATTTTAACTATATAGGAACGCATATATATATTTAGAAGTCTTCAAATTTAATGATCAATTTTATTTTAAATATTCATCAATTACGAAGAAGAAAAAGATTTTAGGTGTTTTATATTGAATTTAAAACGGCTCAATACAACATGGATTGTTGGCCGCATTGTTCGCTTCATTCAAAGTTGTGATAATTCAGCACAATTAAAATATTAATCACTTCAGAACTGTGTATCACGAATATTAAAAAGAGGAATCATTAATGGTAAAAAACGATCTGGTTATCCTGTTTCTTAAGAGGATAAATTTCCAGAAGGTTGTAGTCTACAGAGACACTCACATCCTCACCCATATCCTTTCATATCCACGATGATACCCGCATCCACACTATGGGTTAGGAGTGACGATAACGACATCGCCACATTCCATATTTATATCCTGAAGATTTACACCCAAAATAGGGTCAAAGCCGCATTTTTCGGCTAATGATCCCTATTGAAATTAGTATTCTTCGATAGTGAATAGAACTTTTCATCTATCACAACCAATTACAAAGCTACTGCAAGTCAAAAAGTAAATATTGGGTTATATAAATATGATAACAATCAAGTATACGGTCACGTTTAAGGGTATTCCCTCTTTTTGATTATTTCTGATTCCTGAAAACAGTAAGACCAATCATGCTGAAATTTTAACCACAGATAGAACACCAAAATTAAGGAGACACATGCTCAAGGAAAAAGTTTCAAGTGGATCTTCGTAGTTGTTTTTTTCTATCAAATCATGGTTTTCATAAAACAGTATCCTAATACATTACATTCTATCTAATGTTATTCGAGTGAGCTAAAAAAATTCATTTTGGAGGTACACAAGCCTATGTCTCAAAGATAGTTTTAAAATGTTTCAAAGCTCTCAACTTCTATTTCTTTTATGAGTGAAATAGGTAAATGTTCAATACCAAAACGAGATATTTGACGTATACGATCCTACAAACTAGGATAGGAAAGTCAAAAACGAGAACGACTGAGTCCACCTCTAGAGAATACTTCCAAGTATTAGTGGTACAAATCTCAGTTCGATTCAACAAAATTAGATGTCGGTTACTATGTATCAGGATTCGATCACAGGAAAAACCAGGATTTTACAGGAAATCTGCAAAAATTCATTTCAAAATTTTTTCTCGAACACGTCTATCAAAAAAAAGGAAGTTGCTCTGAAATATGGTCGGCGATAAACTATTGTCAGAGCATATCATCTTTTCTTTCTTTATTATTATAATTTAAACGAGTAATATTTTTTATTATATTGTTTCATTACAGTTTATTGAAAATGAAATGATGATGATGGTGACTTGATGCCTTGGTTACCATCAGTCTTTCATTTTAAAGACAATTAATATTTTATATAGATATTTTAGTTCGATTTTTATCACTATGTTATCATTCATTTTGTTTTCTCTTGTTACTTTCATGAAAATATTCAATACTATGCAGTTAGATCATTCACTAATCAATTCATGTTTTAATTTCGAAACCACATACAGTAGACAATCGAATGTTTGTAACGCAGTACATCAACTAATTATTGACGATGATAACGAATTTACGACACTATGCGTCAATTGCACTATTAAATATATTGATGTGAAATTAAAATCTAATTGTTCAAAGAACTTCAAATGTTTATCTCTTTTCTTTGATGATAATTCAATTTTTGAAAGATTTATTAGGCAGAATATTTATGTAATCAAAGATCTATTTTCAGTTGAACAATATAAATCAGATTATCATGTCCTTTCTATATATGTAATCAATTATAATATCACAAAGATAACATCGGAATACATACATTCAAACTTTCATCAATATCTCCCTGATCTAACTATTTTTTTAGAATTTATTAATCATCCACCAAATCAACCACCACTAACAATTGATGATAATATGGACGTCATAAATGTTCATAGACTTATAATAATGATTCATTGCGATTCTACCATAGAAAGAACAACTGATAGTGTACACATGTACCCATATTCCAAGAAAGTACTAAAAGGAAACAAATGTCAAGATTCTAAATCTCAACCATGGGTAAGTAATGAATTTCGAAAAGACATACACATTTGAATAGATACATAATATTAATCTAATTAACATTGTCAGGAATAATATCGAAGTTTTATATGTGCATTTTTGTTTCTCTAGATAGAAACTATTACAAGTAGTATACTCACAACAACAACATCCATATCAACAACAAAAACACTCACAACACCAACATCCATATCAACAACAAAAACATTCACAACAAGAAAAACGAGGATAAAGACAAAAATAAGAACAACATCCACAACAAGAAAAATAAAGATAAAGACAAAAACAAGAACAACATCCATATCAACAACAACAACAACAACAACATCCATATCAACAACAACAACAACATCCGCAGCAAGAAAAACAAAGATAAAGACAAAAATAAGGACAACATCCATATCAAAAGCAACAACATCCACAACAAGAAAAACAAAGATAAGAACAAAAATAAGGACAACATTCAGATCAACAACAACGACCGCAACACCGACATCGACAAGTACAAGAACAACAACAACATCATCGAGACCATCTATGACCATGCAAGCAACATTAATACCTAAGGCAACATCATACACAACAGAAATATCAGCATCAATAATATCTACACCATTTATAATGGCAACAATGACTATAGCCTCGTCATCTATTTCCACGACAAGTTATCCAACATCAACATCACAATCACAAATGTCTATAACAACATCTGAACTTACAATGATTACAACTCCATTTTTTCAAACTACATCATTTGTATCATCAACAACAACAACTGTAACATTATTCGAAACTACTAGTATCACAACAGAAAAATCATTTACAACATTCAACATATCATCTGTAATTACACCCGAATCATTCATATCTATATTCAAAATTCCCATGACTCAGTCAATTCTATCAAAAACTGATACAACTACATCTTACAATAAAATACCAACAACAATATTACAAACACCTACGAAAAATATTCAACAAACATTCTATAGTGTAACAATTGCTCCCTCACTTCTGATGACAGTCACCGAACTGATGAGAATTAAGGAGAAGACATTTTCAAAAACGCATGTAGAAACAATACTATTCACGATGATGTCAAATTCAACACTTTCACTAGTTACAACTCAAAAATCGTTAGCTTCTTCGTTTACATCAAGTAAAAGATCAGAAGAATCTCATAATATTCTTCTATATATTTTATACAGTTTACTATTTGTGATCATATCTATTGCAATCATTTCTTTTATTGATTGTTATCATTATTATCGTCGCAAACAACAACAGTTATTTAATGAATATTCAATTACTATTTTAAGTGCACCAACATCTACAAATACATATAGCAGTACTAATAATGATAGAATCCAATCGAAAAATTTATCAAATACATCGAACACATTTTTATCATTATTATTAATGCAATCTAATGAAACTCAATCATTGAAAAAGGTGAACAAAGGTGTTGAACATATAGTTAATGATAATTGATTTTAATCATTTTTTGTTGTGGAAAAAGGTTTTACAAAATACGAAATACACATCAATATCAAGTCTTTTATTATTCTCTATGAAAATCCTTATCTGTGACATTAAAAATACTCGTATAAATAATTCGATCATCATTATGGGTGGGTATGGGTGTAAGTTTGAGTACCGATATGTATAATAAAACCAAAAACAGTTGCTTCTAACTTGATATTAATTTCTTTTTGTTTGAAAGAGTAAAGTCTGAACCCTCAAAAATTCGTCAATGTGCAAATTCAACTTAATAAGCCTTGTCTGACAACACTCACTTTTCTCAATATTTTTTTTTGTTGTGGACGATACAGACATTTTTTTCAAAACCGAATTACGCGTGATACAGAGCTGGATGATATATTAATCCAAATAGAGATTATCAGTAGTACATTTTTATATTGTTTACTTTTTGAAACAGTGTTTATGAAAGATCAGTTATAACACAATTAACTTTCACCTATTTTTGCAACAGCTTACTTGAGAGTATTTTGTTTTCGGGTTCTTTTCACTTGCATGAATGTACTGAGAAACTTTTAATCCATACGGTTTTTATTTTTATTTCAGACTTTTCCCTTTTCAAAGCAATAAAGAAATAAGATTTTTTAACTTTTAGAATGAAGAAGATATTGACTTCGACATTTATCTAAGAACTTGTGCAATACTCATTAGTAATGTTTCTATTTAAATCCGATTGGCTTTAATCCTTTGTTTGGATGTGCATGTAAACTCAAACTCAAACATTCATATCCGTATTCTCATTAGTTTTCTATTAGACTATTCAAAAGAAAATAAGATTAAATGATTGTGAAGAATAAAAATGTTTTTGAACTATCTTCAAGATATTCCTATTAGAAAACAGTCTTTCGATATATTCTGTTTCACTTAAAAAGTCATAATAGACACAATATTTTTCAAGTGTTTTTCGATGAAAACATTAGGCAATTTGCTTGATTATGAAGAGAATTTGTTCATAAGTTCAGAATTCTTTTACAAGGAATTGTCTAATTCTAAAAAAATCAGCATTATGCCCTCTAACAGTAATTTTTTCATGTTTAATATTTTGAGTTCACATAAATCGCGTTAAAAATGCTTGTCTTATTGGTTGAAAGTTTTGTTTTTTGTTTTAGGTGAAACTTATAATTCACAATTGATTATTAAAAATTTTAACTCATTCTGAAAGTTTTTTAATAACAAAATATGTTTGACCAGTTCTTTTTGTATCTATTTTTAACAATTGATAAACGCTAATGAGAGAATTTTCCAAGATTCTCCATTCTTTGATTATTGATAACTTTGTTGTCTGTAGATACTAAATAGTGTGTTCTAGTAAAAACTTTTAATGAATTTGAGTTTCTATTGAGATTTGACGAACTTATCGAATTACAAATATGTCTATTTCATCTGAAAACTGTCTCCATCTAGGCGATACACATACGTTATCTTAAATGAAGAGTTTCAGAATTTTTAGACTTCAAGTCGTCTTCGAGATACGAGCTTTTCAAAATATTTTTCTATGGTATAATATCCTTGGAAAAGCAGCTATTTCAAAAAAAAATCATAGATTGAAGATACAAAGTCTATAAATTCCGAAGTTATTCTTTGTTCAGAGTAAAATATTTGAATTGTTTAAGTGGAGGAACTTTCAGAACGATATCCGAAAAGACAATTGTTCCTAAAACTTGAGATCGTACGGAGATCTCTGGATAATAGAAATTAAAAATTTGATACTTTCTGCAAATCTTAATAATGAAAAAAACATCCTTTTAGAATGTTTACATCTTTCTTCAAGTTCAATTTCTAAAATAATTCAATATTGTGATTTGACGCTTCGTTATTTATATATACGTATTTTCTTGTAAATATCTCGTTCAACAGATATCCAATATTGAATGATTTATCATTCATTTTTTTTTCAAATGGTCGATAAATTTCGAACCTTGATCAAAGTCAAATATTGAATTATTAATAAAATCAAATGAAAATTAGTTTTAAAAGATAAGATGAATGCATTATCATTAACTTTTTTATCTTTGTTGAAACCATTTTTTAATAAAACAAATTTCGAGATCATCATTTATATTGATATCGCATCTATTTTATTCACTATTCAATTATTAATTATTTTGTGAAACTCACATATATTTTCGAAGAAAATAGTAAGCATAAGTTTTATATCAAAACTTTGCAGCTTTCCATCTCCTCTGCATGACAGATGTTAGTAGTCGCGGAAAATAAACGTCATACTCCGAGTTTTGAGCTCAGTGGCAATGAAAAATAATGCTGTACGATATGAACGACAAGGTTTCAACTGTCCTAGAACATTTCAAAGCCTTCCTTGAAATTCGAAGTGTGAGTGTGTGTGCGTTGGAGAAAAGGAGATCGATATCTACACTCACATCTCAACAATGCATGTGTACCAATTAAATGAATCAATGATGATTTTCATATTATTTCGTTCTATGATTTGAGTAAGAAATTATGATTTAATTAATTTGCATCTTTTTACATTAAAATGTTGATCGAACAAGACATAGTAAATATCAAAATGTTTCATTTTTGTTAAATATAGAATGGCAATGCATTGATATTGATGACAGCTGTTGCATGAATCGATAATAAAGAAAATGCGATAGTCGTCGTTTTCTAACACATAATCAATTATATTTTATTCAAAGATTCTTTTCAATATGTCGCCTGAAAAAGATCAGATATTATCTGCCAATGAAAATGAAAAACTCGATCAATCATTATCTGATAATAATCATAATATAGTCTGTATTAAGAAAAATCTTTTTACAAAATTGGTAAGTTCTATAGAATTTTCTATAGAAATACTTGATAAAAATCAATATTTATATAGTGTATATGTATTTTTATTCTTGTTCTTGGATCTTACTTAGTATTAGTTGAGAATAAAACGGATAATTCAGGTGGACTTGTATCATTGGTACCAGTGATTGCTGTAGTTATCTATTATTTATTTGGTCTTGTTGTTGCATATAAACAACATCGATTCGGATTACTTATCGTATGTTATTCTATGTTTGTTAAGGTTTCTTTTTGTTTTTTTCTTTTTCAATATTAGTTTGCATTGATTGGAGTGATCTTATTCATAGGATTACGCATTTTCATTGATTATATCATCTTAACTATTATAGTATTAAGTGCTGCTTTGGGTTTTATTAATCATGATCATGGAAACATCGTAGTTTTTGGAATTCTCATTGTAGTAGTATTATTTATCATGGTGAGATAATTAACTTATCTGTATATTTAACTGTAGTGCGTTACTTTTTTCAGATTGTATCTCTGAAGTTCTATTTGAATTTGACAAAATTGATCAAAACAAATCAATATCCAATCGTCTAAAACTTTGAAGATCATCTATTTTCTTCTGAAATAAACTTTGAAACTATATGCCATTAATAACGCTTAGTTTCTATGCTTTATATTTGATTAAAATAAACGTTTATTACTGTTTTTTTTTGATTTATCATGTGTCATTTACACAATAATCAGTTCTTCATTAATGAAATATCCAGTTATTTTTTTTAATGAATAGCACCATACAAAATCTTCTATTTTAATTACTAGTGAAACGCCTCTTTATCACTTATAATGGAAAATCTTTCTACATTTAGAAAGTTTCATGGAAAAGGCTGCTTCATATAGGACTTTATTCTTTTTTGCTTACGAGAAGAAGAAGTGGGTATTCATCAAAGTACTTGATTAATAATTAAGGACATCTACAGACAATTCTCTGTATCACATATAGAAGAAAATGTATAGCATGAAATATCAACTTAGGTGGCAACGATTTACGGTTGCTGTCATAGGAATGAAGATAGAATCAAAGATTTCAAAAACTTTGATGAATCATAATAGAGAACCTGGGATCTTCTGATATGATAAGAAGGAAGTTTTGTTTGTATTGGTTATATATGAGAACCTTACTAAGAATGATTGTTATTCATTCCCATTGAATCTAATCAGGTATGTAGATATTCTCGTCTATTGTTTTGGGATATGGGCATTGGTGTTTGTCTTATTTCGTTTGCACTCATACGTTCAACCGAAAAAATGAAATGAAGAGAAAATCTTTTAATTCGTTCGATTCCGACTAGAAGACATGATTTATTTTTGATTTTAAGATAAATTTTATTGATGAAAGATGTTGAATCGTATTCAATTTTGAAATCTGGTGAATTGTTGAGAATATCTTTTAATTATTTGAGTTTTTCATTGAAAATGTGAATGTCTGATTCAGGAAAATAATTGTCTTTACGACATTGAATAAGCCCTGTTTTGTCAATTATTTCAATTCAAAAATCAAAATTAGTAATAAATATTGTGACAATTGATGAGAGTTCATGTTGAACTTCATTGATCACTTGTTAAATCTTTTCAATTTATTCACGTTCTCATTCATTGATTTGTTCCATTAATTCATTTTTTTTTGTGATTTAGTTTTTTTTTTCGTCAATTTCAATTCTGAACTCATTAAGTCTATCTTCAATTTTATCTAATGGTTCACTTAATTCATTGTGATATTTATTAATACGATCAAAGCAAAAATCTTGGAAACATCCACCACATTTAACAATGTTTTTGGATTTTGTAAGTAATGTTTAGTGTTCTATAAACATCAGTGAAAAATTGTAAAGATTTCTTTCGTAAACATTCTAAAACTCTAAATAGAATTTTTTTTTATTCGATCTATTTACGTGAAATGACAAATCAGCGAGAATGTGAACGCAAAGGATTCCACAATAAAAACAAAAGCCTGTAAGCTAAAAAAATGAAAGATAAAATGACAATAATATTAGAGAAGTCAGATCGTTAATAAGTTTGTTAAAGTTGTTGAGAGATGACAAACAGACATCTATTCCATAAATGGTATATGATCTGAATGGTAATGGTACAGTCTGCATATGGATGTGTTGATGTAAGAGAGACTCTTTTTTTGCATT